CGGGGAAAACCTGGATAAAGCAATCGGACCGCAGGCGTCGATTCGATGAACTTCGGCCGTCGACAACTGGGCCTCATAGGCACTATCAGCGGCACCACTGCTCGTCGTGGTTATCCCTCCCCATGAATTTGAAAAGATAAGGCGCCATCGAGACTCGACGCAAGTACCGTCTTCTCGCCATTCCAGCATCTTCATCGGGTCATAATTGGTTGATAAAGTGTACCACCCGGTTCTGGTGATCACCTCTCGAGTGTAACGTTCGAAATTTAAATGAGAGCGCATGGCGAGTTCAAGAACGTTGATAACGCCTCTATCTATTACCCCAGCTTTAGCTAAGTATTGAATACTTGCAGGGTATCAGCGTATGTAAGCTGTCCATCTGACGGCTGCCAACGTGCGCTTCGCGTGATTGGCATTACATTTTAGTTCAGTTGATTTCATCAGGATTTCCGGACCGAATCCTACAACAGCCTTGCAGGGTCAAATCGCCTTGTTGGGTACCTTCCGCGCCGAGGAACGCCTTGTCGACCAGGGGATCCTTCTCGAGATGTTATCTCACGCCCTTGGAGACTCCGATTTTTTCGAGGGATTTTCCTTGAAGGACCATAAGGACAAATTGCGCCATCATGAGGTAGCGTCTTATCCCGGCGGCCTGGCAATCACACCGGCGCTTCTTTCTTCCACTCAAGACTACAGCCCAGAGACTAGTAGCTTTGTCCTAGACTGGGAACAACGAATATTAGTTCAACGTTATCAAGCTGCTACAATTTCACCTCCAACTTCGATTCTGCCCAGGCGAGCTGCTGACGCCTCCTCAGCGGAAACATGGACCGGTTTTCCGTTGCCACCACTTGAAGTTTCCAAAACTTCTCCTTGACACAGGGATATCAAGCATCACGACGGTTACCCCAGATTGGATCAAGGAACTAAGCGCTAGGCGCGCGGGGTAGAATTGTTGACCAAGCGCCCGGAACCAAAATTCCTAAAAGGAAATGGCCAATGAAATGTCGAACACCGTATCTGATCCGTGTACAAGAAAGGAAAAAGGTGTCCCCGAAGTTCGGAAGCCTCCGTCTCGCCTCGTTAAGTGGTGCTTCTTGAGAATCCTGGCCATTGCAGCAACGAGCAAAGTTGAAAGGAGCGGCCCAATCGCAGGGTCAGGACTCAGGATGGAGGTCGCCAATCGCTATTTTTGTACATCATCACCATTACTGACCATCTGTACCGGTGCATACCTTTCTTCTCGTCCTTCAAGTTCTCTGACGACCGCGCGTCAAATGCCCATGCTAAGTAAAGGCCGAAGCAGTGCAAATTTTATGTCAACCAAACTATACGCCGTAACTGGCTCGCAATATGTAGTTGCAATTCTAATGTCACCCCCTTACCAGAGTGACCAGAATTGCGCATGTAGGCTACTTGACTGATAGAGCGACGTCCCACGACGGATCCAAGTTTTAAAGAGCCGACCAGTGGTGGAGAGGTTGGTGTTGTCATCGTCCTAAATTGATCCTCCACGAAGTACCGTCCATTTCCAACCTTTTGATGAGTTCAGTCTGATTGTTAAGTTCACCAACCGTACCCCTTATAAGACAAATGGTACAGGCCAATAAGGAGGGTATATGACAGCCATATTATCTTGACACCCAGGTTTCACGACAATGTTGTCATTGACTCCACATCTTCCGGATGCATCTAACAACAACCTGTTATGTTGCGGCCGTCTTGTCCATATGCGTTAGTGTTATTAGCTATCTCGGAGGCCGCTGTGTCTTGAAACCGCTGACAAGCAATGGATATGGTGCCTAGATCTGAGAGAGGCGCATCGACAATGTGGCGACTACTGGGGGGTGCCGAGTATTCTTGAACGGAGCAGGAGCAACAAAGTAACAGATGGGATCCACACTACAAGTTGAATCATGGGTCGCTTTAGTGATTCTCAGACTACCTCAATCGCGCACGCGCGATACTACTGAAGATCACTATAATGGAAGACGTTAGAAGAGAGCAAGACGGTGTACCAGAAGAAGGAATCCAGATTCTCTATTGCGAGTAGTATTGTTCGGGCCACCCAGTTTACAGGTCCTACGAGAACCCAGATAAGGAGCTTTATTTTAGAAGAGATAATCGATAAACACCTATCAGAGGCCAAGTCCACTGAGCAAGCCCAGATGAATTTTCGGAGACATTTGAAGGTGTTGCAGTGAAACGTACATGTGGCGCATTCCCAGGTCGTATATGCGTTTAGCGGAAGATCCGAGCGCTAATGACAGCGGCAACATGCAACAGATAAGGTGTGGCGAAATCAGTCTTTCGTGAGATAGTGTCATAAGTAGGCGTTTCAATATCAGAGAGTTGGCCTCAGAGGCGTGCATCAAGAGAACATGTGGGCCAAAGAGCAGAATAAATCCCATGATATAAATGCCCAAACAGATGCTGATACACCACCACGCTCGTAGATGAGTTTATCGCCCGGAGATATGAGTTGAAAATCGCGCAATCGTAGATATGAGACTCAAGAGCCTCTGCACATGGGACTCGGGCATTTGAGCAATTTCATACCCGCGTGTTGTATGGGCTCGGTACCGGATCATGTAGTGAGCAGAGTAATCGATAGGTGCAGTGTGGCGCACTAGCACATGCGTGGGAAGCGCGGGCCGAGATATAAACAAACCCTAGGCCTGGTGGCGGCCATGTTTCCTTATCGTTTGCATTGGTAGTAGGTATGAATAGAGCGTTTCTCAAGCTCTCTTCTTCGATCCGGATATCCCTTCTTGCTTGAATCCAGCTTTGAGCTGAAAGCCGCGATGTTCCTGATATTCCGCCATCGGAAAGATAGGAATACTTTACTTGCATACCCTGAAAAGACCCCTTTAACGCACATTTATCACACCTCTCGGCCCGTTTCCCTTGCTGCCTGTCAATAACAAACTGTACAAATGTCGACGTTAAAGTCTCAGCTGGGGTACCAGGGGCTATAAGCTTTTTGTCGTCCCATGTCATGCTCAGAAACAGCTAGCGCGCTCCGAGGGGTCAGGACTTCATCCACAACCGGGAATTCAAGCGGCAGAGGACCTGCTCATTGTTGTCTTTGACTTCGTCTCGTCATCGGCACGGTTTTCCAAATTTCTTCGACGTGGCCCGTTATCTGATACAACGTCTGATGCTTCGCGCCTCAAGGTTGACGTCTTGGGCACGAGAGCAGGGAATGCCTTCCCATGGCCTATATTTTCATTCTCTTCATCCAGCTTCCCTTCACCTTCGTCATTCTTCCCTTCACGTCATATGTTCCGTTCCCATTGGCCCCGATTTCAAGCCGCTGGCATCAAGGTTTCGTCGCAGGAAAGTGGCACAAACCGCAGATCCGCTGGACTGTAAATGTTTGCTGTGCTGACCAAGTGCTGACTTCGAATTTCGCTCCTTGTTCGCCTGTCTAGTCATTCTGTCTGTACTCCGAAGAGGAAAGCAACTCTGCATATAATACACAGCCAACACCGATCAACTCCACTCTAGAGTCCGCGCTGTCGATTGTCGAAGAACATCCATCTCAGTTGATTTGACTAGGAAGGATACTCAAGCGTACCAGCAACAAATCATCCCCTGAGGAAGGCATTCGTGAGAGACACTGCACATGTTGTCAAAGCCAAACTGCAACTTTGGTACAAGGCTTGAGTCGCGACGGAGAAAGCATCGGTCTTTGTTAATGAAAAGAACCCGACGCGACAAAGCCTCCTCGAGAACCCACTCCACAGGCCAGAATAAATGGTACCAGGAACGTAGCAACACCGAGACGAGGATGATGCAAAAGACCCAGAGAGACAAGCACGTCATGGGAGAAACCAGTCTATCTATTGATCATGATCCTGCAAGTGGCCGCTCTAACTGAGTCTCAACATGTCAGAAGATGCTTAACGTACTATGCCGCATAGAGAGGACACGCACCTGTTAAAGCTTGCCCTGCAGCTAAACCACATACCGCCGGTCTGACAAGTGCTTCCGTTACAGAGCAGCGGCTAGGAGAAACGCAAGCACTCCGTTTTAGTTTAAAGAACGCGGTTCCATTACAGTTGACTGCTGCAGCCGTTCGTTTGTCTGTCGGGACGCTGAGAGTTGAGAAGCCTGCCGGTCCGAAGTCCAGATGATCGTCGTGGTCCCATGCTGACTGGACCAAGTTCGGAGGAACCTATATTGAGAGTTCTTGCAAGACGCTCACCCTAGGCGGTTCGAAGGTTGGCCATTGGACACAGCCGTCGGTCGGTTAGCACCGAAGGATATACTGAGCGATTATCATTGGACCATTCCCGGAAGAGAGCCTTTCGATGTTGATAGCGTGTGCTTGACCTATCGTCGAGAGTCGGGGGTTGAAGTTGCTGTCATCGGCGGTGCGACATGCTCGAGCTCATGATTCGGGGTGCAGAATGAGTCCTCGGATTTCGTTGAAGCCAAGGATATGGGCAAGCTTCGAACGATTGTTTCCGTCTGCACTTTCTGGTCGAACGATGTCGAAGGAAGAAAGGTCTCCGAAAGTCAAGGGATCTCACCGAGCTACCAGAAAGCATCAGGGGATCCTCTGCGTGTCTACTTCCTTATTTCCTACATGATAAATGAAGAACACGCAGTCTAGCTAAGACTAGGAGGATGCAAGTGACAGCTTGTCGGATTCGGGGCGAGAATACATCCTTGAAGGGTAAGGAGATGGATCGTATGATTGAGGGTGAAGCTGAAGACGCATTTCTGCAAGGATTCAAGAGACAAGCCGACCCAGAGTTCAATAGACGGAAGCCCAGTAGAAAACAGAACGAAAGTGAAATTTAATTTCAAACAGCTGACGCGTCCGACGCGCAAATCACGTGTTGGCTGCGCGAATTACTGAATGAGGAAATCCTCCCTTGGCGCTGACGCTGGACAGCATTCACCACCGCCTCCTTCAACCACCTCCAAGTTTGCGGACGACAAAGCTTTTGCAATCTTCAACGTCTACTTAATTCTGCGAAAAGGACTTTATGGATGTCGTGAAGGCTGTGGAAACGTATGTGAACAAGATGGTGGCGACCCCGTCGGCCATGAAGGTGTTGCTTCTGGATTCACATACGGTACGTCGGACCAGCTCTTGCGTCATGGGCAAACAACTCATTTTTTCAAGACTCCTATAGTCTCACTGTCTGCAACGCAATCGACGCTGCTTTCCCAACAAGTCTATCTCACCGACCGAATAGACAACAAGAACCGGGATCGCATGCCGCACATGAAATGCGTCTGTTTCCTGCAAACTAGCGAAGATAGCCTTGGTGCTCTTGAGGATGAACTGAAGGAGCCGAAGTACGGAGAGTATTATCTGTGTCAGTCGGTGAATCTCTGAGGTGTAGGTCGCCCATCGCGTGTAGTACTTATGGCCGTTGCTCAGATTTCAGCAACATCCTCAGCAAATCCGCGATCGAGCGGCTGGCACAGGTGGACGAATATGAAGTCGTTCGTGAGGTCCAGGTGCGCACTTCCTGTCTTGTCAATGGGCGGCGAGCTGACTTACCCGATGGTATACGTAGGAGTTCTTTGCAGACTACGCGCCGGTACTACCATGTCTTTTCTCACTGAACCAAACGCCGTCATCTTCAAAACCTCTGTATGGCTCGACATTCAACACATGGGATCCAAGGGCATTGGAGCTCACAATGCAGGGCATCACAGCCGTCCTGCTGAGTCTCAAGAAGAAACCTATCATCCGTTACGAGAAGATGAGCCCTATGGCGAAGAAATTAGGCGTGGAGGTACAGGTTGGTGCCCCCTTGCTCGTCATTCTTACCGAACGGCTTTTCATACTCGTATTAGCATCGAATACAGTTTGAAATGTCACTTTTCGACTTTCGACTCACACAAGTCCCGCCTTTGCTTCTCATTCTTGACCGACGGAATGATCCTGTAACACCTCTGCTATCTCAGTGGACGTATCAAGCCATGGTACACGAGCTGCTGGGAATACAGAATGGGCGGGTCGACCTCAGCAAAGTGCCTGGGATTCAAAAGGAGTTGTCTGTGCGTTGCGTTCTCATTTCACCGTGTTCCCGATGCTGACGGTGTCGCCCAGGAAATAACATTAACGACAACCACAGATCCCTTCTTCCATGCTCAACATCTTGCAACGTTCGGTGACCTCGGTACAACACTCAAGGATTATGTCCAGGAGTACCAGAAACGCTCGCTCGCCCAGAATCCATCAGCTATAAATTCAATCGCGGATATGAAGCGGTTCGTGGAAGAATATCCTGAATTCCGGAAATTGGGCGGCAATGTCAGCAAACACGTCGCCCTTGTTGGAGAACTGAGTAGACTAGTCGACAGGGACAAACTCCTGGAAGTCGGTGAAGTGGAGCAAGGGCTGGCTACGAGTGCGGGCGCTGATTTCAAGGTATTCATGGCAGGCGTCCGATGTGTTGATCGTAGCTGATGAGTTTCTCAGACTGTTCAAGAACTTGTCATCAAACCCGGCGTTCCAGCCTGGAATAAGCTTCGGTTGGTGATGCTCTATGCATTGCGGTATCAGAAGACGCAAACGGGCCACATCGCAACACTCATAAATTTGTTGCTGAATAACGGCGTTTCTCGAGAGGACGCTAGAGTATGTCTCCTTGCGTTATTCGTCTTTGAAGTCATCACTGACTTTGACCAGTTGGTTTATGTTCTTCTAAATGTCGCTGGTTCGGACCAAAGGCAGGACGATCTCTTCTCAACGGAATCATTGCTGGCCAAAGGACGCTCAGCGTTGAAAGGTCTGAAGGTTCGTACTTCTAACCTTGTTATCGTCCATTCCTTAGTTCAAGCACACAGGGGGTCGAAAATGTGTATACGCAACACACGCCTCATTTGTCGCAAACGCTGGAGAATCTCTATCGCGGAAGACTGAAAGAGACAAGTTATCCCTTCCTTGAAGGGCCTGGCGTCAATGCTGGATTACAAAGGTGGGTCTTGAAGCACACTTCGGTTTTGCACAGATTGTTACTATCCTTCCAGACCACAAGACGTCATCATCTTCATGATTGGAGGGACGACTTACGAGGAGGCAAGGACTGTCCAATTGTTCAATCAGGACCCCGTCGCGGCCACCAACGGCAGCATTCTCAATCCAGCAGGTATACGCCTCCTCCTTGGCGGGACATGTGTCCACAATTCGTCGTCGTACGTTTTTCAAAACACCTGCGCGTGCATTCTCCTGATCGTCAAAGCAGGTATATCGAAATGTTACGTTCAGCAGCCGTCAAATTCCCGCCGTCGGTGTACGATCCGCCGCCAGAGTCCGCGTCAAACGCGCCGATCCTCAACCTGAATCTCGGAGGGGTGAACGTGAGTCTAGGAGGATCTGCTCCGGGTGTTTACCGCACGAGCGGCGAAGGGGTCAATGTGCAAGCAGATGGCCTTCGGGATGGTGTTATGAACTTGCTGGGGAAGGTGAAGGAAGGTGTAGATCGACTAGCTACAACATGACGGACTGTTATATGTATTTATGCGGTCGAGGTTGGCGAATACACTTCTAGATCTCGGGCATACTTGTCGAGAAGGATAAAGGTCGGGTGGTCGCGATGATGGAGGAGGGCTTCCACGTGCGTAGAACGCGAGGTGACACGTCAATCCTGTCACGAGCATCGAGCCCATATTTCTCTCCATAACGCTTCTGCCGTTCTGTACTTTCTTTTCTCCGACCCTCTTTCCTCGCTTCACCGTTAGGCTGCACGCCCGGAACAGGTATCCGTCATAATGGCAAAAGGTCTCTTCGCCAGTCTCAAGGGCGTCGACGCTTTTGGCAAAGTATGTCTCCTCCATGTCCAAATCTTGGCAACCTATTTTAAACGTGGCAACTCCTTTTCGAACTAGACCACCGAAGATGTGAAAGTGAAAACCCGCACCGGTGCTCTCTGTATGTCATTTTGGACGTTGGAAGCCGGATTACAGCAGCTTGACGACGACTCCAGTGACTATTCTTTCGGCGGCGATCATTCTGTCTGTAACGATGATCGAATTTCTCGATTATCGGAGGGTCAATGTCGACACTTCAATTGTTGTCGACAAGAGTAGAGGCGAGAAGCTGACGGTTAACATGAACATTACCTTCCCTCGAGTACCCTGCTTCCGTGCGTATTCTGCTCGTACGAGCCGATTTCCCGGCTGACCGTATATGCCGTCTCTGCCAGTTGTTAGCGTGGATGTTATGGATATCAGTGGTGAACTTCAAAGAGATATATCTCACAATGTCCTCAAGTCAAGGCTGGATCAATTTGGAAACATTGTCCCCAACTCGTTCAGCGCCGAGCTGCGTAACGATCTCGACAAAATGCACGATGTGAAGAAAGACGGCTACTGCGGTTCTTGCTACGGCGGCCTGGAGCCCGAGAACGGATGCTGTCAGACGTGCGAGGACGTGCGTCAGGCATATGTGAACCGGGGATGGAGTTTCTCCCAACCCGAACTCATCGAGCAGGTCTGTTTACTTCTCTTATGCGCGGATAGCCAGATTTACCCGTAACACAGTGCCGCGACGAGGGATGGGCAGACAAGCTCAAGGAGCAAGCCGACGAAGGGTGCAACATCTCGGGACGCATTCGCGTGAACAAGGTCATTGGGAACATCCACTTCTCTCCTGGGCGATCCTTCCAAACGAATACACGCAACCTCTACGAGCTCGTTCCCTACCTCCGTGACGATACTAACCGACACGACTTTTCGCATACTATTCATCATTTCGCCTTCGAAGGCGACGATGAATATGACTTCTGGAAGGCTGAGGCCGGAAAAGAGATGAAGAAGAGGATGGGTTTGAACACGAATCCTTTAGATGGTGTTTCTGGCCGGGTGGGTTTTGTTATCTCTCTTCGGGTGGTTCGCGAGAACTGACTAGTCGAAATAGACGAGCAAGGCGCAATACATGTTCCAATACTTCCTCAAAGTCGTCTCTACACAGTTCCGCACCCTGAACGACGCCCAGATCGTCAACACGCACCAGTACAGCACAACGCAATTCGAGCGTGATCTTTCGGAGGGAATGAACAGCGACTCTCCTGGAGGTATCCACGTACAGCACGGTGTTACCGGACTGCCAGGTAAGCCTGGATTTTATGCTCAGGTTACACCGAGTTCTGACCTATCTGCCTCCGAAAGGTGCCTTCTTCAACTTCGAAATCTCGCCTATCCTCGTCGTTCACTCCGAAATGCGTCAATCATTCGCGCACTTCCTGACATCGTCAGCCCTCTTTCCGTCTTCTCGACTCATCCAACGCTGACCCATTTCCACCATTCAGGACGTGTGCCATCGTCGGAGGGGTGCTAACTGTCGCCTCACTCCTCGACAGCATCTTGTTCGCCACAGGGCGTGCACTAAAGAAGACCGGAGGTTCTTCAAGCGGATTCAGCGGAAAACTTATGTGAAGGGCCGCTGGTGGGTTGGTTATGACCTTGTACCGTAATTGTTGCACCGACTGTATCATATATCCACTAACATGGGCATTTTCTATCCGTCTACGCAGTTGGGGGAGTCGTCCTGGGCCTTGGGTGATCTTCAACTCCACGACGGGTTAGTACTGCCTACTCTAAAGGTCATCGATTGGGAAGTGGCACCTGGGGTTGGATGGCCATCGGGCACTAGACGCTTTCAGGATAATGGCGAGTTCTGTGCTGAGCGGTGCGACAACGATTCGGGCCGTGGAGGCTGAAAAGAGTCCTAACAAACTGAATCATGAACGCGCCGTGCATGAAGAGGAAGAAATTCAATTAACCTCAGGTCTATGTATGTATGTAGAGTAGTCGATACACATTTGCTATCATGCTATGCCGCTGCCACTGTCCTATCGCAATGTGAGGGTTGAGAGAGATATCAGATACCTGTGCAGATACTGAGAACAAAAAATACAAAAAAAGTTGTGCATCGATTATGACTGGCAAATAAATTTAGTCGTGACGGGTCGCTGCTGCAGGAATATCAATCGATGCCAGCTTAATTCATCGTAATTCCAAGAGAGGGTTGCTGAAAGTCACTTAGTGCCCATGCCCCTCCCACCGTATGCAAGCTCATGTCCAACCGACCCACTCCGGCCAACATTTGGGCGTCCAGAGCCAACGGCCTGCGAGGCGGAAGGCCGCTGGATCGGAACTGGGACACTGTGGCTATGCCCGTTCATCCCGGTCTTAATCGACCGCGACGGCTCGAAGGCCGGCGCTCGACTGGACAGGGTAGATGTTGCTGACATAGCCGCGCCATGTACCGGGCTCGTGCGAGTGGGAGAGGGTGAGGAAGTCAAGGACGTGGACCCAGGAGACGAGTGCGACGAAGTGGTTGCTATAGACGGAACGGCGGGGGCAGAGATGCTGGCAGATAAATTAGAGCCGGATGAGTTGGACGAGCTGTTCGTTTTGAGCGACGCGCGCCGGTGAGGGTTGATCAGGAGTGTGGGTGGGTGGTGGTGGAATGAATGCGATTTGGGATTGTGCGATTGTCCATGATGCGGGTGCGGGTGCGGGTGCGCTTGTCGGTGTGGATGGTTGGGGGTCCAGAGTTGACTTGAGGCTGACTGAGCAAGGTCGCCATTGGGTCGTTGGATGGTGCTGGGTCTCTCGATAGGACCAGGCCCGCTATGGTGCCGAAGACGATGGAAAGGGACGGGATGATCCCGCTCACGCTGTTCCTCCATCTCGAGGCTGGCGAGCGCCTCTTCCTCTTGCTCGATTTCCTGCTCAACGCTTCTCAGCTTCTCCTCGAGGTCCGGGATCACTGTTTTCTCCAGCTTCTCGTGCTTTCCACCTAATCTCTCCAGCTTGTTCGTCAAGCCTGTGAGCTCGGCCCTCATGGCTTCCATTTTCTTCCGCTCCTTCTCCTCCAGGCTAAACCGCTCTTTCCTCACCTTGTCCGCCTGCGCCTTCGTCCTCGCATGCTCCGCCTCCTTCTCTTCCTTTCGCTTTGTCAGCTCCGGAACCTCGTTCTCGACCTCAAGTGCCATCTCCTCCGTCTCCTTCGTGGCGTTCTGCGCCCGCTTCACCGCTTCTTGAAGCGCAAGCACCTTCTGCTTGCCTCGCAATTCAGCTGCTGAATTCTTTTCTGAGGTGCGCTTCAGTGCATCAATCTCAGACCGGAGCGCTGCATCGGCTTTTTGAGCATCTCTCCGGGCAGACTTGAGCGAGGTAAGGAGGGTCTCTCTCTCTTGGTTGACAACAGAGAGGGTGTGCTGTAGCTGATTCAGGCGGTCCTCGAGGGTGATCTGGGGTGTGGCTGTTGGTGGCGTGCCCGGTACCGTGCGGCTGGGTGACGTCGAGGGTGTGGAATGGGGGTCTGAGGACGACTCCATTGTGGGGGACTCTGGATCCGAGTGGATCTCGTCCGAGTGTTCTGGTATAGGGTTATAGAGTAAAACTGACAGGAGGATCAGACAGACAGACCTTCAGTGGTCACCTGCCGCCGCAGCTGCCCACCGTGCGCGAGGCCCAGCTCGATGTCGTACTGCCGTCCAGGCATGAGCGCATAGATGATGATCACGGCCTCGTCGAGTTCGTCGTCGATCCGGATGAAGGCGCGTGGCCATGCGGATCCGTTGACGCTGACCGAGAGCCCTTTTGAAAGCGCATCGGCGATGACAGACGACGGTTTGCATTCCCCGGTTACTCCACTTGGCGTCTCCTCGTCGTTCTCACCTGCAGCTTCGAGAGCAAGGGACGCTAGGGAGTGATCGATGTCTTGGCCGGCCAGATTTGAAGACAGAATAAAAGTAGCTGAGACCGAGGTAACCTCCCGGACTGCCAAGGCCAAACTAGGTGCCCATGGCCGTATCGAGTGCCAGCTGGACGCCGGCGTTGTGTGGGATATCGAGTCTAAGGACATGAGCGTCGTCGTAAAAATACAGTGGTCACAAAGTGTGACATTGTCCTAAGGCAGAGATCATCAGGAACCCACAACTTGAATTCGACATCATCGCCTCTACTTGACGAAAATCTGCTCTTATTCATCTCGACCATACGGGATTGTAGGGCTGCCTTTATTTTGCTAATTCGCACTATGTTCTACGTTAATTCGGTGCATGAACCGCGTGGCATATGTATGGCAGGACTCGCAAGGCTTGATCCGACTCGTCGCTGTCGCATTCCTGCACAGTCCCCTTCAAGATGTTCGAGATTGAAGGCCTCCCAGCCATTTCCCTGACAAGTGAGAAAATAGCAACGATCGTACCAATGACCCAGCCGACGATGTATTTGTAGGGCCCGGAGCTCACACGGTTTCTTCCGCCATTCCTTCGAAGTCCTTCTTAAAACCTGTCACTGTGTTCTCTAGCCGCTTCTGCCTTTGGGCCTCGCAAGTTGCTTATGGCTCGTCCCAGGAACAGACTTCGCCACGCCTGACACAATGGCATTTGAGGGCTCTACAAAAGACTTGTTGTGTCGAACTCCTCCACAGCCTCGAGGCATTTGGCTGACCTCCTGCGACTATTATCGACCTTTATAAATACAAAATCGTCCTCCTCAGTCTTACCCCAATATCCGGAGTTGGAGCCATGCACGCCGCTGGTGCAACACAGACTACGCTGACGGACGCCTTGGGGCTATTCCATTCAATGGCCCTCGAATCTCGATAAATTTCTCGTCGAATCGATTGGGAGGCTCAATGAATGTCCTGTCTCTCGAAATTCAGCCCTCCTTCGAAATTCCTCAACATCTCGGGACTACGGAACAATGAAGCAGAACTGTATGTTCGAAAAAAGAAGTTTCCTTGCAGTTCGAAGGACTGCACCTCAAGACCGAAATTGAAGTCGTGCTGGAACGGTGGTCCTGATCATATCTCCAGTCCAGGGTTGTTCTCTTTCGTATCAACGCGGACACCCTGGAGAGAATGTCCTACTAGCGAACTGCCGCCCAACTTCCAGAAAGCCTGATCCAAAGGTGATCGGTGAATGCTAGGCCCCAGAATCAAAACCATGGGGTAGCCCGCCTGACCTTGATCACAAGCACGATTCCTCTCGGTCGTAAGTCACTAATGCGCGGCCTCAGGTCATATGTCCAAAGAACTACGGACTCTTTCGGCACATGCCCCGGGATGAACGCTTCCTCTGGAACGATCGCTTTCACCTTCTCATGTGGAGTGCAGGACACCTATTTAGGAAAGCCGACAACCAAATCGGGCTCCCCACCGGGCCCCAATCCCCGGAATATTCTTGGATCCCATTGGTGTCCACGCGGCACCCTTATGGCACATGTGGCAGACGTCTACTTATCTGCCAAACCCGTGTCACTGTCACTGTAAGAACATTGCCCTCAAACTTGCTTCAGTTTCAAAGCTGCGACTGATGTAATGTCAATCGAGAGTTGCTAAAGAGCATGTGCAGATATTGTGATTCTCCCATTGAAACAACCTGTCAGACCTTCCTTGAGCTTGAAACCTTCTCTTCCCCATTGCGTAATTTGGTGTCGGGTAGGCTAAGGGCAATTGTGGCGTTGCATCCACGTGATGAGAACGTCTGACATAAACCGCGACTCTCCAGTGACACAGCCACGACTGGATCGGTTGCCACCGCACATCGCGCCGGAACCTTGGAAAGCCTAATCTACAATGTCAACTACGAATCCTTCGGCGATGCTCGCGGAGTCTCTTGCAGACTTCTCTAAGGCTGCATATAACGCTGTAAGCGCCCGCTATGCTCATCATTGCGCCTACTAACTCTGTTTGCCTCCTTTGTCGCGACATCGTTCATAACGCGACCTACAGTTCACGGAAGTTGAAAGTCAGGCGCGTGTCGAAGTTGCACGGGCGGTAGCAGAGGCTCGGGAGGCGCGTCAAGAACGAGATAAAGCATTGCGAGACCTTCATGCATCGCAGCTCGACTCCCAAGCTTGGAAACAAGAAGCTGCTTCAAGCAAGGCCACAGTACGTGATACAGGCGTATTCCAGGTTTTCTATCCACTCAACTCTGCCTTTTGATTCCTCCAGCTTGATCAAGCTGAATTGACAGTACGGTTTTGTGGTGTCTCGTCTCGTGCGCCCGCGCTCATATGGTCATTTTGTCACGTAGATTGCCCACCAGGCGGAAACGCTCGCGGCCCAACTAGAAACCATCGCACAGCTTCGACGCGAAGTATCACAATGGAAGGATCAGTCGCGGAATTGGCAAGAACATTTCTTACGTGTTGAGCAAGAAAGATGTGCGCAATCATCTAGGATCGACGAACTTGTGGAGAAGCTTCAGGTGTGTGCATTTGGTCAGTCCGTGTTGATGGCGCCCTCATGTAGTTACCTTTGCTCAGTATGTTCGCCAAGTTACCACCAACGCCAGCGCCCTGTTCACTCCTCCCAAGGCATCTAAATACTCCAACCAAATTAGTTCAGCGCCTTCATCAACCACGACCAAACGACCCTCTGTGCCTTCTCCCACCCAACCGCCTGCATACAAGTCGGCTGCTCCTCCCAGCCCCGAGCCCGAAGCAATAATCGAGACACCTACTGTCCACCATACAAGCCGTGTTGGCGGCTCTGGTTCCAAGGCAGCGAAAACAGCAGGCAAGGGTGCCCAACAGCGAGAAAAGGACCAAGACTCGCAAGAAGCGACGTCAGCACGGAAGCCCAGGAAGAGCAATGGCACGACAAACACGAACGTCCCTCCTGCCAACACCTCTCATGGGCGCCGGCCGTCGTTGTCGGCAACCCAAGCCCAAGCATCGT